TGTGTGCCTCAGTTCACATTGAAAAGTATTTAGTGTCTTATTTTATCACAGAAAAACTAGTCTATATTACTTTCTACTATGTTAACAGAAGTTAAGACATTGTCGCTTTTTGTTTGAAAACCTTGCAAATTAACTTTCTTATCAAGTTTACCTCATAGATTCTTTAATTCTATATTTTTTCCTGCCAACTGTGGGTGTAACAAGGTGATCAAAATCTTACAATTCTTCTAGATTGAGAAATAGAGAGCTTTACCAACTGCAATACCAAAGTGAGCTGCATTGTTCGATAATGAGGATCAAGAGTATGAGTATGAGATGAGTATGTGGAATCTGTATAAAGTATGAATGTTCATCTGTTTTTGTAAGGTACCTTGATTTGACATATGTTAGTAAATTTAGATTTATTTGACAACAACCATGAAATGTCATAAGGAATACTTTCACATATTGCACAGGTTTGACTTTCCCTCATTTAAAGTTATGACGGGTCTGTTCTGTTCACTCAGTTGGAATAATGCAATTTTGGTATCAAGGCTAAAGAACTTTCCAGTGGTTTTAGTGCAACAGTGCATTGCAAAAACAAATCTTTTGCTTACATTCTGTCCTGTTTGTAAAAAGGCTGACATCTAAATAAGCACTCAACTGGGGCACAGAAAGCAGAACGTTCTAAACTTAGCTGCAGTCAACAAGTACTGTAACAGAACATATAAATATATATATTTATGGCATTTTTGATCCAACATTTCCAGTTATCCTTGGGTATTTAGCAATGGCTGTAAAATAGCTCAGGAATTTGAACATTATATTTTGGGGGAAAAATTTTAAATCATATTTTAATTCATCAATTGAACAGAACCTCAAACACATCCAAAGGTCTTGAAGTAATCAAGAGATACGATTTACACCAACATGAAAGAGAACTCATGTCCCCAAAGCGTTCTTTTATCCCAGACATTTATCCATTTTGAAGATAGCTTTATTTTCACATTTTTTAAAAAGCAATATTTTTTAACCTCAGAAACAGAGCAAAAATCTTAATCATAAATTTTCATCTCGTTGTTGCGTGAGTTGTGCTGTTGAGGTTCAAACCCAATATGTAGGAAAATAATAGAATCACGTCTGACTTAGCTTTGGTTACCAAATCATCCTTTATTGTTGTGTTCTGCTTTGCAGCATCAGAGCTGATGTTTTTTTTTTTTCCAGAAGTACAACTTTTATGTGTCCTCCTTCTTGCATGGCAGTTAAAATGTACTACTTTCCTTTCCCAATTATAATTACAGACCAAATTCATCACTGTTTCTCAGAACCACCGAAAACAAAAAAACAAACAAAAAGAAATGCAGTAATCATACATGGATTGGCATGAGTATTATTTATGATTCAAAACAGTTCTGAGTTGAATTTTCAGTCCAGATCTAAACTTCATGCTGTAAACTCTGAGCCGCGTTGCAACACTTCATGTGGTTGAAGAAAACCCCAAAAACAACAACCTGGTTCATGCGATTGAATGTTTTAGTTTCACTTAGGGAAATGTGTATGTTGTCCAAACCAAAATGAGAGGTTTAACTCAAGGAGTGTTGCATAAAGGGATAGTTAAAGTGGGCACCTATGTTCCTTTTAAGTGGGATTGTGTGGGATGTACCTGGGCATGCAGTATCTTTCCTGACTTTTAAGAAGTAACTACTGCAGACAAACAGAAAGCATGTAAGTGGTCTAAGTTTGAAGACTCAATGGATGCATGAAGCCAAAAGAACAAAAGAAACAATCAGCATCTGAACTACCACAAACATAAAAGGAGCCAAGCTTACATCAAACAGTTTTACTCTTCACCCCTTTTGCATCAAATCATTGCTTAGATTGTTTATTTTTTTTCACTCCTGATGAAGATCTTGCTAAGTCACTTTATAAATATTTGGCAGAAAGGCGTCTTTGTAGTCTTAGGTTAAAAACATTGTGAGCTCCTTAGTACGTATGATACAGCGAGAGTTTCCCACAGGTTTTGATTTGATTTATTTTACGAATCTCCTTCTACTCTTTTATGGATTTGTGTTTTTTTTTTCAGAAGGTAAAAAAAAAACACCCCAAGCAATTAAAAACACTTGTTTGGGAAAAGTTGATTGGATATCTGCTGTTTCTATCAAGCACTTCTAAAGTGATTTGTCAAAATGCACAGTTTAACCATTTCTTCTAAGACTCCACCATGTCTGTATCTATGGTTAGAAGGTATGAATGACGTTATGTTAGAGCAAAGGCTCAGACAGGCCCTGGGAGGAGGCACCGATGGCAGTACTTCCATCAAAGGGCAGCTTTTATCAGGGCAGAGTTACCCTCAGATTCCACATACTCCATCTGCGCTCCGCTCACGCAAGACTTGCAGAGTACTTGTCTGTCACTTGGCCGAACAGAGAAAACTGCAGTAAACAATATCACATTATAAACTACCATCTCCTTAGAATAACCAAATATTTAAAGTTTATCAGTGTATTCCACTGTGTAACACAGATGGTTTCCATTAATATCTTTTTTATTTATATCTCAGAATCTGCCTTTTTCAAATCAGTTCTGCCATTCCACCCATGGAATTACACTAGCAACCGCTGGGCTATGCCAACATTTGTTATGGGATCAGAGTGGTGATGTTAAAGCACCATTACTCTAATAGAAATTAACGTTAAGCAATTAATTCAATCTGGAAGTCTCTATAATCAACCTCACCTTGATCAAGTGAGGTAGATTGGAGCCCTAACTCCGAACCTCAGCCCATCAGCCTGGGGACCACACCCCTCCCGGAGCCCATCGACTTACAAAGTCTCCTTCTTCAAGCGTTGCTGATGTTCCTCCTGCTCACCGGCTGTCTCTCTACCCACCTCCACCCCTTCCCCTCCCCAAGGAGTGAATCTCGGAACAGGCTCCATCCCATTCACCCTGGGTTTATGCCACCATAAGTCACCGGGGGAAGACTTATCCTTTCTCCTAAATCCATCAATATGATTATTCATCAGCTCTAAACACAAAGTCTTCAGCCGGTGCCACAGAATCTCATATATATTACTGACAATAAACTCTTCAAGTTACAAATTCTCTCTCTCTCTGAGAGTCTGCTCTGTCTTCTTGAACCCCAGTTGGCCTCAGATGGCCGCTCACACTGATCCTGGTTTTGCTGGAGGTTTCTTCCTGTTAAAAGGGAATTTTTCCTCTCCACTGTCGCTACAAGCATGCTTGTTGTGAGGGATTGCATTTGAGTCAATGAGTTGATGCAATCAACTGGTTTACTTAGATAGAAAACTTTGAATCAATTTGACTGTATGATCTGGTTGAACTGTAAAGTGCCTTGAGATGACGTGTTGTAATTTGGCGCTATAAAAAGGAACTGAATTGAACTGAATGGAATTAAAACAAGAACCAGCAGAAGGTTTTCAAAGCTTCTACAGGAGCAGCACTAAGCTGCTTACTGAACCTTTTGGTTAAATTAATTAATATCCAAAACGGTTGCCTTACCCATAAAACATAACAGCTGCACTACAAGAGCAATGTTTCATTTATAAAACTGATGATACAATTTCTTTTTAACCAAGCTTAAGGATGCAGGTGTCAGGATCGAGTCCCTCTTGGTGGAAATTAGGATTTTTTTTGCTTTTAAGGGTGTATTGGGTTATCCTCCTGCAGAAAAAGCCAATAGATGACGACCTTGGCTTTCCAGCAACAGATGTTTTAATTAAAATGTTGATTATTTTAATGAGCTTTGTGACACCGTGCTGTTTTCCAACATTTCAAGGGCCTTTAGAAGAATGTCTGCCCCACAGCAGCACAGATCCAGACTCATCTACTGTTTACTGCCTGAAAGCTCAAGGGTCTCCAGAGATAACAAGTTACTAGTAACTACTTACATTTACTGAGTTTCAATTATTTGAGTAACTTAAAAAGATGTTTTTTTTAGGCGTTTATTACTATTTTACTACCGTAAGTTAAAATTTTTTAGGATATTCTACTAGCTGGTGTTGTTTGGAGATCAGGTAAAAATAAAGAGAAGATGAACCTGCAGGTTGTGATATATAGCATTAGATACTGCAAAGATTATAACTTTAGAGATTCTACATCTCTAATTTGTATTTTTTTTATTTTATACTGTAAAATAGCAGAATCTGCATGCATGAGAGAACTTTAAAAATCATTGTGATGTGATAACTCAGGTAAAATGAAGGGCAAAATGTATCATTAAATACATATATGTGAAATAAATGAATGTACCAGAAAATATAACATTTTTATGGCAAATTGTATTCATATTGACTCAGATATTGCCCTAAAAATATACTGTTAATTTTAACATCAAATAAATAAAAATGCATTAAAAATGATGAATTAAATGTCATTTTAAGGAAAAAATAAATTTTAAAATAGATATAAATACTTTGCTCTATATTTACATAAAGAAGCCAAATATATTTTTTATTATTGGAGTGTTTGAACACCTTTAGAAGTGAGGAAACTGAGTACAAGATTAGTTTCTCATAGCCACTGATTATACTCATCGGTTTTCTAGATGTGTCAATAATGGGCTTGAACCCAGTGGTTGTTTTAAAACATTTAAGGACTGGTTTCTAACCCTTCTTTAATAAATTAAGTCGTACAAAGTTATTCAGAGGGAGATATTTTTGCATTTGCCTGATGAGAAAAGGCCGCTGTCTGGGAAAGCTGATCTATAACCACAGAACAAACTGCTCTGCTTTCACAGAGTATTGTTATCATTATGCTATGAAAGTAAATTAAAACAATAGCCATGTGAATAATCCGTGCCAGCAGACCAAGGACGTCTTCTCATTACGTCCCTTTGAGTCGCAGCCTGAAGATCAAAGCCCAATCAAGCTGATGTTCCTCAGGAGAGCAGACTTAATGCTCAGACACTGCTGTCCTGATTACACTTTATGGGCTGAGACTGGATGTAGTTTGGAGGTGACAGTGACGGGACAGATTGTTGAGACACAAACACAGCAAAGCTTATCCAAATGCTTTATTAAACATCTTTAAAGCATTTCCTCCCATTCATCATCGTCATCATTGGTGGAGACGGGTGCCGAGTAAACACCCAGCTATTCCAGGCAGCTCCGGCATTTCATTTGATTCCGCTGTTGCTCATGGTTTGGGCTCTGCACACTCCCTTCCCGGCTACTTCAAAGGCGGCTCCCTTGTACGTTGCCACGCAGCTCTGATCGGTGCGCAGGTCTGGCTGAACCTGCTCCCACACTTTCTTTTTGGGGTTTAGCTCCTTGTCTGGGTCACCTGGAATGAGGGAAAAATAAATCCTGCATGAAATAATCCTCAGCTGGTTCCTGGATCCAGAATGTGGTGCTTTTTTATTTATAACCTGCAGGAACACAGCTTTTATATAGTTCATTTGACTTTCTGTCATGTTTCATTTGAGCCTCTGTAAATAAAATGTCTGTTTGCTCTCGGCTGTAATTGAAAACATGGAGCCAGGATTTCTCTGAATCTATAAAGTTCATCTCAGGGAAAACAGAGAGGTGAGCTTCCTCTGATGTTCCTCAGCGTCTGTCAAAACTCATAGAAAGATGGCTTCCAACCTTAGATTACAACTAATCCAATCAGATGCTTGGAGGAGGTTCTAATGGGGAACCTTTGTGTGTTTCTAGGTACCAGCTGTCACAGTCTTGGTTCTGTTAAGATTTCTTTGAGTTTTCAGTTTCACTTTGATCCATGTTTTTCATTGTTTCCTATCTTTATTGGTTTAATTCCTATTTTATTGTGTTTTCTGGATATATTTAATTTCTTAGGTTTCTCATGCTTGCCCTCTGTTGCCCTCTTGTGTTGGTCTCCTTTTCCCTAGCTCCTTCTAGAATCCTCTGTTCACACCTGCTCCCAATCAGCTCATTAGTCCTGTCTTTGTTCAGTCTCCCATATATACTCTCCCTGTGCAGTTCCTCAGTGCTGCTTCCTCGTCGTTCCCTGGCTCCTCATGCATGTTTTCCCTGATGTCTCTAAGGTTCTGGTTTTTCTATACTTTTTATGTTGGATTTTTGGATTCCTGCCTCAGTTGCCAGTGAGTCATTTCATTAATTCTTCAAGAACTCACCTCTGTCTCCTCACCTCTGCATTTGGGTCCTCAAAACCTCAACCAAACCCTGACACCAGCAGACGCCCACCGCCTCCCTTAGGGAGCAAAGTGAGCTGCAGCTGCTCACCTTTTGGAAAATGTGAGTAATCACAGACACATAGGGTGGCTGTGGAAAAACTAACTTCTACTTTAATGGTGGGAAAGGAAAGGAAAGCAAACAGGAGGTGAGGGAAAAACTCATGTTTTTATATTTCATTTAGGACAGATTTAGGTTGACTAGGAACTAAATAAAGTTCCCTCTGGGCCAGAAGAGGCTCTACCTCAAGCAGGTTCTGATAGGATGGAGGGAGAGCTGGAGAAATGGACCTAAGCATAAGGATCCCAACCTGGACTGTTCACTGTCAGATTAAACAGCAGCGACCCATTGCTCCACATTCACTACAGTGTGTCGTAACGTCCCACATGAGCTGAGGTTCTGGTGAAGCTCTGGCTCATTTGTCTGTCCAGCAGGATTCTATTTGATCTAGGGCTGCAACTAATGAGTATTTTGCAAATCAATTAATCTGNCATTTGGGTCCTCAAAACCTCAACCAAACCCTGACACCAGCAGACGCCCACCGCCTCCCTTAGGGAGCAAAGTGAGCTGCAGCTGCTCACCTTTTGGAAAATGTGAGTAATCACAGACACATAGGGTGGCTGTGGAAAAACTAACTTCTACTTTAATGGTGGGAAAGGAAAGGAAAGCAAACAGGAGGTGAGGGAAAAACTCATGTTTTTATATTTCATTTAGGACAGATTTAGGTTGACTAGGAACTAAATAAAGTTCCCTCTGGGCCAGAAGAGGCTCTACCTCAAGCAGGTTCTGATAGGATGGAGGGAGAGCTGGAGAAATGGACCTAAGCATAAGGATCCCAACCTGGACTGTTCACTGTCAGATTAAACAGCAGCGACCCATTGCTCCACATTCACTACAGTGTGTCGTAACGTCCCACATGAGCTGAGGTTCTGGTGAAGCTCTGGCTCATTTGTCTGTCCAGCAGGATTCTATTTGATCTAGGGCTGCAACTAATGAGTATTTTGCAAATCAATTAATCTGTCCATTATATTTTTTTTGATTCATGGATTAATAATCTGATAGCAAAGGTTCCTTAAAGAATTTTTACTTAATTAAATCAGGTGAAAGTAAAAATTTTCCACTTGAGGAGTTCTGGATAGAGGTCATTGGCAGACCAAAAAGTTTTATCTTAAATGCAAAATATATAATATATTTTTTGCATTCTTTGTATAATTACTGCTCTAATTGGGTCGCTCTGTCAGTTAAAGGCATATTTAAGAGTCTCTATACTCCAGTTAATGATTAACTAGATATTCGTTAACGATTATTTCAATTATGGATTCATCACGATTAACCAATTATTTTTTTCATCCTGATTCTGATCAAATTTAGAGAAAAAGCCTATTTTAGCTTTATTTTTAAATAGAAAAGTATGAATAATTAAAGAGGTAAAAAATATTTTCATTGACATGGAATAACTTTTTTTTTCAACAGAATCATAGATGATTTTTAAAGAAGTGTGCAGCTAAATACAAATTAAAAACCCCAAATAAAACACTTTAGACCTCATTTTAAAGGTTATCTGAGGTTTTATTCCTTTAATCTGCAAAGAATCCAGAAATGTCAAATGAACAATAGCAAAAATTAGCAAACACATTAGTATGCTAGATGCTAGGACTGGATCATATATCCTAAACTTTTATCACAATATGTTTCTAAATTTTGATTCAATACGATGTGATTCTTATATAAATAGTATGAGAGGACTGCTAGAAATGCCTGTAGAAACCTATTCAGCCGCATCTATGAAACTACTCTAACATAATAAAATCTATGAGCTGAACAGATTAAATGTACATATAACCAGATGATCTTCTCTCCCTCCTCATATTTCAGTCTGTGGCATCTTGCCTTTAACAGTTTCATCAGCTCCTTTATTTTCCTGTTTAACGTTAATTTGTCCCAGAAGACAAACATACCGCGGTCTGAATCCAGATAGTGTTTGAGTATCAATACATGTAGGAATATTGATATTTTTGATATTCCTACCAACAGGTGATGCTTTCAGTGTTTCTGTGAAGACATTAGAAGGACTAACAGTCTTTATCTTTCTGTTATTTTTAAGGCAGGGGATCACAAACACTCCCGCCTGTAACCCTAAAAATAACAAGGCAACAGACTGGAAAGACCCTAAAATGCACATATATCTTTGTTTATATTATACTTACTTCCCTTTGTTGATTGATTTGACTTTATTGATCTCACAGTGGAGAAAAGTACTCATTGCATCAGCTGAAATAGTCAAAGAAGGTGCCAAAGGAAGTAAAAGGTGCATGGGATATATACAGTGCGTCCACATATGACAGCTTTTTTTTATGCAGGGTTATCGAACAGGGTGTTTACACGGGTATTTATATATATATATATATATATATATATATATATATATATATATATATATATATATATATATAGTTATTGTGCTGTCAAATATTTGTTTATTTAAACGAAAAATGTAACTAAAAGTAACTATTGTCATTTTTTAAATAAATATTGTAAAATTTATCATTTTAAATGTATTTTTAATAACTTATTTGTTACTTTAACCATTTAAGGTACAGTATTTAATTATTTAATGTGTGAATTATTCATCAGTTAAAGAAATGAATGAATAAATGAATAAATAAATAAAACCTCTACAGCAGGTATTTCATGGTACATTTATATATTTAGTCAGACATTCAACTCTCTGTATATGATTATATATTCTAAGATTCAGAAATACCTGAGGGATTAGATCCCACTCAGGGCTGCCCCTACCTAAACTAAAAATACATACTCTTGGTAAATTAAAAATTCTAAATAAACACACATTTGAAATTAATAGAACAAAAAAAAAAACTTATCAAGCATTTTAAATAGCTTGCAAATAGCAAAACGTAAAAAAAAATACATGCATATATATATATGTACATTATATATATATATATATTACATATATCAATATGTGTGTGCGTGCATGCATATAAACACACGTTTACATATAGGAATGTATGTATACGTGTGCGTATAAAACACACACAAAGAACTGAATTTTTAATGATGAAATTGTTGATATTTGATGTTTATATCTGCAGCGTTTTGTTTTTAGTTACTGCTATGATGTCATTCTTTCAGTCAATGTCTTGTTCTAGTCTTTGTTAAAAGAGGCAATGATTGATTATTAAATTAGTTGGAGATTATTACAGTAATAGATTATCATGATTACTCACTCTAGCCCTAACATCCCAAGACATGGGTGTCTTGTGACCCTCCTGTGGACCCAGTCCCCCGCTTTGGGAACCGCTGTTCCAAGGTAAAGCCTTTAGCTCAGGGGATCCGGTCTTCCTACCCAGTAACTTGAGACGCCTTCCTGCTCTGTCCTGCAGACGCCTGGTTAGGAGCAGGTGAGCTGCAGAGGGCTCACATCTAGAAGCTGTGGGATGGTCGCTCTAACATTAGATTTCACGCGTTCCTTTGGTCTGTTTTACGTCTCAGCAAACATGAAGCTAACGACCACGATTTGTTCCTTAAACTCATGTGGGTTAATCCTAACAGAAATAATTAGGACGCTCATTTCCTCGGCAAACTGCCACAGGATGATCGGGTTACGGTCTGAGCAATGATGGCTGATTGGCCGTTAAGACCAGTGGTCACAGACCATTTAGCCACCAGCAAACAGAACCAGGAGATGGGTACCAAAACACATCTGGGGGCGTCCTCAGAGAAACAAACGTCCAAGCCGATGTTATGAAACCCCTCATTTCCTAAAGACAGGAACCACTAAAGACAACAAACCACAAGTACCCCCCAGATGGACCCACCTGGAAAGCCTTGGACACTGACTCGGTCCCCGGGAACTGATCCACTCGGAGGATCCAAGATTTCCACTTTGTCTGGTGAGCTTGCACACATGACCATGGCCTGGGACACCACCCCCCTCATCTTGGCTGGTTTGAGGTTACACAGCAGGATCGCCATCCGGTTCTGCATCTACAGAGGACACAAAGGCAGATCAGAGAGTCAACACAGTTCTGTGGTTCTAGCTACAACACGTTTCAGGAGAAACAACAAATCATTCAGGCACAAAAACACTTCATGGAGGAATATCTGCAAAAAAAAACCTATTCCATGGTTCTTTAGATATTGGCCCATAAAATTTACCGTCATTTATTCATGGTCACCAGAGCAGATGATCGCCACATTCATCTCACATCAGATAAAAAACAACCTGTTTACCTAAATGTGACAAATGGGAGTTTAGCTGCAGATTTACCATTTTGACAAGCATAAATAAATGCACCAAAACGTATTAAAAATGTTTCTGTCTCTGTGTCACAAGGATTTCCCTCTCTGCATCCCCTCTTTAAGCATTAGGGCACTAATGAGACCAACAAAGCATTAAAGAGAAAAGTCATCTTTTCAGAATAAAGGCGGTGGATCTGTTCCTAAAACATGTTAAACAGTATATTTTGTATTGATCAATAGAAGCCAGTTCGGCACATTTATAGGGCTCCTTGCTGGATCTAAAACGTTTTTTTGCTTTTTTTTAATTAGGACTTTAACACATTCATTTTGGTTAATTGATTATACAGATTTTAACAGCTTAAAAAAAAATCAGCACAATCAATTGCATTTTTTTTTTATACATTCTAAAGTCTCGACCAGGAACTTTTGTTTCACCTCTTTGCGGCTAAAAACCATCTCAGAGTAACAGAAGTTACACTAATTCCTAGATGACTGCCAGTTACTTTGGGAATGGTCCCAGAAGCCCGACCGTAGCTCCTAAGGTGTTAACTACAGACGTAACATTCAGGCGAATTAGGCCACATACGTGTCTTCATATATATCAGAACCACGACCTGCATGGACCATAGAGAGTTATATCTTTGTTTGCTAACCCCAGCAGTCAGAAAAGCAGCACAGACGTTCACAGCGCTAATGTCAGCGTCCACAGCTGCAGCAGCCCAGATGATGAACTTTGGAGCCACCATAAGGAAGTCCAGGTCTGAAAAAATGGGAACAACTCCCTGGTAAAGAGGGATGCGTGTGAGTAGCTGGTGTAAGAAGATTAAGTATCCTCAGGGGTAGCTAAGTCTGAGCAATTAGTCGTAGGGAACTGTAATTTCCCTACGACTTTAAGGAACCTTTGGTTATCCAAATTTGAATTGATTAATCGGAAAAAATAATCAACAGATTAATCGATTAGCAAAACAATTATTTTTGCAGCCCTACTTTCAAGGTCATTTTCATGCTTGTGATTCGCTGAAAGGAAAATCATAATTGCAATATGGATTTTTTTAATTTGTTGAGCCTTTGTTGTATCTACAGTATGCTTTAAATGCCCTAAATGCTGCATGTTGTACAGCAAATACAAACCTCCGAAGGCCAAGGCTTAATGCATAGATCTACTATCAAAGTTCTGTTGTCCGTTGCACAAACTTGCTCCCACTTCCTCACCGCCTCAGCCGTATCTAGACCCACAGCTAGTTCCTGATTGTCCCTCTTGCGTTGTGGCGTGGAATAACATAGCGCAGACCACGCTTCAAAATTTGGCATAAATCCAAAAATGTCTGCGTCATACCTGCAAAAAGCTAACTGCAACACACTGCTGCGGGAGTATAACCAGGCTGTGAGAGGTCGTGTTGGGTGAGGAAAGCACAAACCCTTATTTTTAAAACGCATAGACAGTCAGTTATTGACGCTGCTAAATCAGCTGTTGCCGTAGCTCCCGGCAAACGTGTAGTGTAGTAGTTCTGTTTGGCTAATATTGTTAGTTGTCTTTTTTTTTTTTTTTTTTTTTTTTTT